GGTGATGAAAGCGGCAGATTCGAAAGTCGCGATTCTTGCGATTAATCCCAACTGTTCGAGTAACCGAGTGGTTTTGTAATCGTTTAGACGATCGTAATTTCCATTCATCCACGGATGTCCCTGGCGTTTTATCATCTGATAAAAAGTAACAAATGACTCGTGCTTGTGGATCATTTCCTTCTCTTCTTTACGCGCACAGATTTGTGAGACGAATCGATCGTTCCTGTACTTGCAAAGTATCGATTGCAGTTGCAATTTGTGGAAAGGAAATGTCGTATCACGATGATACAACATAATCGTAACGTAGCTCAAATATAAACGTCGAAAGGCTATTAATCAGGTATTATATGCGTTGAACTGCGTATCCCGGACAAACGAATGCGATTTATCGTTAAAAGAAACATAACTCTTCTTGTAAAACGGCGTCGTGTTCGTAGCTAAAGCGAGCCTATTACATATTTACGGCTACACGCGAGCGTATAAGATTTCGAAACGCGTGTAATGCATAAGTAAAGAGAACAAACGTATATCGGTAAACGTCGGACGGTGTCGTGTACGGTTTCGCGTGCCTCGGCACCACGTGAATATTGAGCGGATCAAGTTCGACGATTTCCAAAAGCGAGAGTTCCACGTTATATTTTACGAATGTTTGTTCCGTTACTTAGCTTCTTAAAGTCAGCTTTCGCGAGCTTTAATTCACAGGTACTTGATTAAACTTCGAGCGTAACATATATTTAAGTTTAATCAGCACTTCGTTTCAAAATTAGTATCAAAAAAGGTCCATTTTTGTAAGCATCGACGAGTACTTGATTCATTCGAGCGTAACACATTTTATCTTATTTATTTCATTTAAGTTTTCATTTAAAAGTTTTCGAAAATTATAATTAGTCAATTAGTTTTCTTGGAATAGTCGTAGACTTGGGAAATCGTATCGAATGGTATCGAACAGGTTATGTGAGTGAAAAATCGATGGATAATCGATCGTACGAGGTCGACATTGATCCTGAACGTGTTTTTGTGCCGATTCCTGGGATATTTTCGCTTTAGATACGGCATCGGCGCGATGCAGATCGGTGGGAAACGATTCTTTGCGAGACGGTTAGCGTAGAAAACGGGTTTAAGCGTGAAAGTAATTGAGGAAGCGGATGAACAGACAAGCCGTTCGTGTTCTTCGCCAACCAGCCAACGGCTGCAAACTTGCCTCGTGGAAAATCGCCTTTTTT